CCTCCTCCTCTCCCCCTCCTCCTCCTCCTCCTCCTCCCCCTCCTCCTCCCTCTGGATCGAGAACCGAGGCCCGACGCTCCCAGATTTCCGGGCGCGCAGGGGGTCGCTGGGCTGGACGGCTCATCCCGCCCCGCGGGGGTGGGCCCGTGCCCTGCAGAACAAAAAGGGGCTCCGGACGAGCAGCCACAGAAAACACGGCCTGGGCGTCGCGTCGTGCGGGGGCGATGGCCCGGAGATCCTGGCGTCTCCATTTGTTTCTCGAGCCGGGCGCTTTCGCTTTTGTTCGGGCCCCAGGGCCCTCGCATATCGATCCAGCTCGAAAATGGAGGCAGAAAGAGGGGGTCTAGGGCTTCGGGCTTGATTTTTTACGATGTTGTATTTTAGTTTCGCTGTGTCAGATCTCAGGGGAATGGGGTGGCAGCGAGGGCTGCAGAAAAGGGGCCCTTCTGGGCCCAAGAGGGGGCTTTGAGGGCCTCAGGAATGGCCCCCCCCATTAAGCGACGCCCAAGCGGTCCTGGCGGTCTGGTCCAGACCTCCTGGGGTCGACGCGGCGGCAAACTCACGACGTCAGAGGTCGTGGGCGAGAGACATGTCCGTGGCTGCGGCCTTGCAGGCCGGGCCCCTGATCCGCGACCACGCGGATGCGGGGCGCTTTTTCGCGGAGGCCCCGCGCGGAACGTATCCAGACCGCGAGGGCACGGACATGGATACGTTCCCAGGGACACTTGGTGCCTCAATTTTTCCCACCCCCTCCTTGGTTGGGTATTTGTTTTTGGGTAGAGCCCTGTGGTCGCGTCTTCTCCTCCTTCTCCTTCTCCCGCTCTCCTTCCTCCTCCCCTCCGTCTCACCCCTCCTCGCGGCGCCCCTGTCGCCACATTCGCGGGTTCCTAGGAGGTTCAGCGGAGGTACGTCTTACGCAGATCACCACTGGACCTCGCCGCCACTTTCGTGGGCTTCTGGGAGGGCCAGCGGAGTGACGTCTTACGCGGATCACCACGAGACCTCGCCGACCCGTGGGGGGCTGCGATCTGCGAAACTGTCGCGACTTTCCTGGGCTTCCGGGAGGGCCAGCGGCGTGACGTCTTACGCGGATCACCACGAGACCTCGCCGCACCCTGAGGGGCTGCGATCTGCGAAACTGTCACGACTTTCGTGGGCTTCTGGGAGGGCCAGCGGAGTGACGTCTTACGCGGACCACCACGAAACCTCGCCGCCCCCTGGGTGGCTGCGATCTGTGAAACTGTCGCCACTTTCGTGAGCTTCCGGGAGGGCCAGCGGCGTGACGTCTTACGCGGATCACCACAAGACCTCGCTGCCCCCTGGGTGACTGCGATCTGCGAAACTGTCGCCACTGCCGTGGGCTTCTGGGAGGGCCGGCGGAGTGACGTCTTACGCGGATCACTGCGAGACCTCGCCGCCCCCTGGGTGGCTGCGATCTGCGAAACTGTCGCCACCGTCGTGGGGTTCTGGGACGGTCAGCAGACGTTTTTACGCGGATTCCCACGGGACCTCGCCGTCCCGTGGGGGACTGATCTGCGATTGTCGCCACTGCCGTGGGCTTCTGGGAGGGCCAGCGGAGTGACGTCTTACGCAGATCACTGCGAGACCTCGCCGGCCCCTGGGTGGCTGAGATCTGCGAAACTGTCGCCACTGTCGCGGGCTTCCGGGAGGGCCAGCGGAGTGGCGTCTTATGCGGATCACCACGAGACCGTGCCGCCCCGTGGGGGGCTGCGATTTGCAAAACTGTTGCCACGTTTGTGGGCTTCTGGGATGGACAGCGGAGTGACGTCTTACGCGGATCACCACGAGGCTTTGCCGCCCCCGTTGGGGGCTGCGATCTGCGAAGCTGTCGCCACTTCCGAGGGCTTCTGGGAGGGCCAGCGGAGTGACGTCTTACGCGGATCACTGCGAGACCTCGCCGCCCCGTGGGGGTGTGGGGCTGCGATCTGTGAAACTGTTGCCACTTTCGTGGGCTTCTGGGAGGGCCAGCGGAGTGACGTCTTACGCGGATCACCACGAGACCTCGCCGTCCCCCGTGGGGGGCGGCGGTCTGCGAAATTGTGGCCACTTTCGTGGGCTTCTGGGAGGGCCAGCGGAGTGACGTCTTGCGCGGATCACCACGATACCTCCCCGCCCCCCGTGGGGGGCGGCGGTCTGCGAAATTGCGGCCACTGTCGTGGGGTTCTTGGAGGGCCAGCGGAGTGACGTCTTGCGCGGATCACTGCGAGACCTCCCCGCCCCCTGGGGGGCTGCGATGGGCTTCCGGGAGGGCCAGCGGCGTGAGGTGTTACGCACATCACAACTATAGCTCGCCGTCCCTTGGGAGCCTGCGATCCGTGAAGCCGTCGCCGCCAGTCCCACGAGGCATGGCGGCCGGGTGTATATATATACATATATATATTTATATGTATGTATGTATGTATGTATGTATGTATGTATGTATGTATGTATGTATATATATATATATATAGATATATACCCGGCGGCAGTTAGGCACAGGGCTGAACTCACGAGGCACATGCAGCCGTGATCCCAGCACTGCGTATAGTCTCCCCGTGGACGGATAAGGACGGATAGCTTTTCCAAGGGCACTCTTGCGTCCTTAGATTGTTCGGCAGCACGCCATTAGAAAGCTTTCAACTGGGGCGTCCGAGGACCATCCAAGCGTCTTGCGTCCTTACAGCGCGACCTTACTATAGATTTTGATTGTTCACCCCCGAGACATGGGCTGGAAATGTCCCCATATATCCGATGTCGTGATTTTTTCAATGAGCCGTCCCGGGACCGGTTTTTCCTCTCGAGTTGTTTCCTGCAGCTCCCACAGGGGGGCTGCGATTTGGGAAATTGTCGCCATTTTCGAGGGTTGCTGGGGGTCCGCGGAATGATGGATGTCTTACGCGAACTCAAATCAGATCTCGCCAGCCCTGGGGGGCTGCGATCTGCGAAACTGTCGTCACGTTCGAGGGCTGCTGGGGGGTCCAGCGGAGTGACGTCCTACGTGGGCTCAAATTAGACCGTGACCTCGCCTTCTCTGGGTAGTTGCGATATGCGAAACTGTCACCACAGCGGAGTGACGTCTTACGCGGATTCAACTTCGACCTGCCATCCCTAGGGGGGGCTGCGATCTGCGAAGCTGTCGCCACTTTCGATGGCTGCTGGGGGGTCCAGCGAAGTGACGTCTTACGCGGACTCAAATGAGGACCTCCCCGTCCCTGGGGGGCTGCGATCCGCGAAGCTGTCGCCACTTCCAAGAGCTGCTGGGGGGTCCAGCGGAGTGACGCCTTAAGCGGATTCAAATGAGACCTCGCCATCCTTACGGGGCTGCGGTCTGCGAAATTGTCGCCACTTTCGAAGGCTGCCGGGGTGTCCCGCGGAGTGACGTATTTCCCAGACTCAAATGAGACCCCGCCATCCACGGGGGGCTGCGATTTGCGAAACTGTCACGACTTTCGAGGGCTGCTGGGAGGTCTGGCGGAATGACGTCTTACCCGGACTCAAGAATGACCTCGCCATCCTTGGGGGGCTGCGATTTGCGAAATTGTCGCCATTACCAAGGGCTGCTGGGGGGTCCAGCGGAGTGACGTCTTACCCAGATTCAAATGAGACCTTGCCACCCCTGGGGGGCTGTGATCTGCGAAATTGTCGTCACGTTCGAGGGCTGCTGGAGGCTCCAGCGGAGTGACGTCTTGCGCGGACTCAAATTTGACCTCGCCATCCCTGGGGGGCTGCGATCTGCGAAACAGTCGCCACTTTCGAGGGCTGCTGGGTGGTCCAGTGGAGTGACGTCTTACGTGGACCACGGGGGGACCTTGTCATCTCTAGGGGGGCTGCGATCTGCGAAGCTGTCGCAACTTTCGATGGCTGCTGGGGGGTCCAGCGGAGTGGCGTCTCACGCGGACCGCCAGCCTGGACCCCTTTTCCTAGCCTGGACAACCTTTTGATGATACGCGAGCCTGGGCTGGATTTCCTTGCCCGCTGGCCGCCCGCAGACCTGGCGGCGCGCCTTCGAGTACAACGGCGCGGAAAAGTGCAGGACGGAAACAGAGACGCCAGCGGGCGAGACTTGCCTCGCTCGCCTCTTGCACTTGCTGTAAACAGGTTTGATCCTTTCGAGGCCGCGGCGACATGGCACAGGCAGCGCTGCACCTTCAGCGTGCGACCGACACAAGCAGCTGTCTCCTGTCTCCTCCCGTCGCTTTCGTCATCGTCCACCTCCCCCTGTCGCCTTCTCTCTGCTCGGAGGGCACCAACTATACACCAACACCGATCCTGGCCCAGGATCACCCTGGGCCCATGATCGGTGTATATGCCTTCTTGCCCAAGGCAGGAGGGCGTATACACCGATCCTGGGCCCAGGGTGATCCTGGCCAGGATCGGTGTTGGTGTATAGTTGGTGCCTTCCTATCTACTGCTGCCGGGCAGACTGTTCGGCCCCCTATCGCATCCTTTTCATGTTCTTCGTTCCCACCCCATGTCCTCTTCGAGCCTGGGCCCTCGCCCCCCGTCCTTCTACTGTTGTCCTGTGAATCGTGCCACGCGCGCGCATCTCACGTAGCTTACGCAACATGCAACGGCGCCTGCGCTGCCATCGTCCTGGCAAGCTTGTGCCGACTCCTCTTGCCACTTGACGCAAACGGGTTGGGTAACGTCACAAGGTAATGTCGATGTGGGGGCCCCCAGGAGGCTTGGACCATCTCCCCAGGGCCCGCTTTTCGCCCCGAGTTGCTTTTTGACGGTCCCGAGGTCCGTTGAGGGTCCCCTTCGGGCGGGGCTAGGGCGAGGATACATCCGTTCCAGAGCGCTCTGGAACGGTCGCATAGCGTTCCGGAACGCTTTGAGAAGGCCACGACGCCCGGCACATCCTCCAGAGCCGCCAGATTTCAGAGATCTTCGACTTATCCTCACCCGAAGTGATCCTCGTCTTGGCTCCGTCTCACCCTGGAGGCCGAAAATGGCCCAACGCCGACCGCTCCAAGTTTTTCTGGAGCGTCGGCTCCCTGGGTTCCTCCCTCTCCTGTACACCGCCGCGCAGGAAAGGCCCCGGCGCGCCCTGGGCGCCATGTCCGAGCCGCCTGCGCAGGAACACTCAGGCGTGAGCTCCGGGCCGGCCAGGTTCGAACAGGGGTTGAATTGCAGAATTGACTTGCCCCAAATTTGATTTCTTCGTCGATTCCCTAGGAGAACATGCGCAGAAACGCTCGTCGATCTATGCGTATTCCTCGTAGTTTTTGTCGATCCGACGACCCTTGTAATGTTGGGGTCGATGAATTCTGCAGTCGACTTCCTACTCGAAGGGCCAGCGGGACACCGCGGCAGGCCCAGATCCGGCGGGGGCTGTCGCTGGTGCGCCTCGCGCCGGCCCTCGCTGGAGGCACGCTGGGGTTCCGGCTGCGCTCGCAGCGCAGCCGCGCCCTGCTGCCGGGGGGCGAGGACGGGTGCCGGCAGGCCTCCGTCGCCTGGCTGGTGCCGCTGTGCTTCTTCACGAATCTCGGCGCGCTGGGAGGGGAGGAAGCGGTGCCACTGCCCGGCTCCCCTCGGCCACGCGCAGAGGAAGGGGGGAGGGCTTCTTAGAAGCACCCCCCTGCTTGGAAGGCGCGGGCGCCCCCTCAAAGAAGCCTGCGGCTGCTTCTCAGAAGCTGTGCCGGGCGTGCTTATAAGATGCTTGTATTTTGCTTCTAAGAAGATGTGTTTGCTTCTGAGAAGCAAATCCGTGCTTATAAAAAGCTGCTGGGCTGCTTTTGCGAAGCGGCACGCCCCTGGCTTCTGAGAACGGCGGCTGGCGCCTTCTAGGAGGCAGCCGCCTTCTAAGAAGCCTTCCCCTTCTTTTTGCCACCTTGTGAGCGCCGCCAATCCCCTCGCGTCGTGGGAATGTTGTTGTTGTTGTTGTTGTTGTTGTTGTTGTTGTTGTTGTTGTTGTTGTTGTTGTTGTTGTTGTTGTTGTTGTTGTTGTTGTTGTTGTTGAACATTATTACTTCTAAAGAATAATTATTGTTGGGACCCCTGGTGCACGACCCCCCCGCCGCGCCTAGGCCGCAGCCTCATTTTCATCATTTTCGTGAGGAAGTCTCAGGCAAAACGGGGAGTCCGGATCCGGTTGTGTTGTTACGATCGGTTTTCCCTTGCAAAAAATAAGCTAAAGTGGACATTTCTTGTTCTAACATAACCAAACTTCAAGAATCCCTTGCAAAAAATAAGGTAAAGTGGACATTCGCGCGCGCAAGACGAAATCCTTCCAAAACCTTAGTTTTCGTAGCGATTTTAACATAAAAACATCAAAAAACCAATGGTTTTTCAAAAAAAATTGTCAAAATTTCATCCCGCGCGCTCTTGCGGATTCGTAGGAAACCCAACACTTTTTAATCATTTCTGTCAAACGGGCTTTTGCGAGCAACTTTTTCGAACTTCTGCAACAACGGTTGCGCACCTGCCAGGGCCATCATCCCTGTCAAATAATACCATGCGGGACACATTCGTTTTTTCTTCGCGCGCGCACGCCGTCGTCGTCGGCCGCGGGGCCCTGAATAGTAGCCACGGTCGTCCGCATGCCACGAAGTGAAGTGTCCGAACGTCATAGGGCGGGAAGCTGGGTGTGGGTGGTGGCGAAGAGTCGTTTGGAAATTTGGTAGAGCTTGAACCGGCCCCCCCACAAAGTGGGGGTATTGCCCGCCTCCTATGAAAACCCTGGCACTGGTGAGAACGGTGTGTCCCCACGTGCTAGTAATTGTTGTTGTTGTTGTTGTTGTTGTTGTTGTGGTTGTTGTTGTTGTTGTTGTTGTTGTTATTCTTCTTCTTCTTCTTCTTCTTTTTCTTCTTCATCTTCTTCTTCTTGTTCCTGTTCTTTTTTTGTTGCTGTTGTTGTTGGTGCTGTTCATGTTTCCCTACTGAATAATGATAATAGTTGATGTCCCCCTTCCAGGGCACAGTTATTTTTGAATTTATGTGCCTTTCCCGTGGCCCGCACCCTGCTTCTTAGCAGGGAGTGTCTGGGGTCGCAGAATTGGGCCCCTGGCCCCCGAGTTAGAATAACAACGGCTTCCGCTTTGTAGTTCCTCACAATTTATTTCCAAATCGGGCTCTCCTGCGGGACTTCATCACAATGTATGCAGAAGTCGCGCTCTCGCTTGGGACTTCTTCACAATTTATTCTGACGCCGCGCCCTCGACACTCAGGAATCTCGCTCTCGCTGTGGATTTCTTCAAACTTTATTTGGGAATCGCGCTGTCGCTCGAGACTTCCTCGCGATTCATGCAGGACGCACGCTTCAGCAACCCGCCTGTTCGATAGGGTCTACCCACTCGATCTGCCCGTCTGGTTCTGCCATGTGTTTTCTGCTCCTCGCCCCCCTCCTGCTATTCTCTCTGGTGCTTCGTCCTCCTCCCGCCCCCCTTGTCCCTTCTCTCCATCTGTCCTCTATTCCCCGGCCCTAGGGGCTGCACGAACTACATGTTGCAGGTAAGACCCAAGGGGGTACGATCGAAGACGAAGAGGGCGGGTCTCGAGGATTTGGGATCTGCGTGTTGAATGGCACGCGACCAGATAGGAACGAACAATTTTGTTACTGTTTTTATTATTGTTGCTGTGGTTGTTGTTGTTGTTGTTGTGATTGTTCTTGCTGTTCTTATTGTTTTGATTGTTGTTGTTAATGTTTTTATTTGTGTTGTTGTTTGTGTTGTGGTTGTTGTTGTTGTTGTTGTTGTTGTTGTTGTTGTTGTTGTTGTTGTTGTTGTTGTTGTTGTTGTTGTTGTTTTTGTTGTCGTCGTTGTTGTCTTTCGTTCCTAAAGGATAATAACTGGTGATCCCTATGCCCGGTAACCAATATATTTGTCAGTTGAAGTGCTTCTCCCGGGGCTCGTACCCTGTTTCCTGTAAGGAAAAATGAGGTGTCACCAAACTGGGCCCCTGGCCTCCAGTTTACAACAGCAACGGCTTCCGCCTGAGACTTCCGCACAGTCAATTCCCAAATCGGGCTCTCTCGCGGGACTTCCTGACATTTTTTTCCAGAATCGCGCTCTCGCGTGGGGATTCTTAACAATTTATTTTGACGCCGCGCCCTCGACACTCAGGAATCACGCTCTCGCTGTGGATTTCTTCAACATTTATTTGGGAATCGCGCTGTCGCTCGAGACTTCTTCTCGGTGCATTCAGGACGCACGCTTCAGCAACCCGCCTGCTCGACCTGGCCGCCGTGGCCCGCCTTCCCGACCCGCCGTTGGGCCTCCCGCCCGATCTGCCCGTCTGGTTCTGCCACCTGTTTTCTGCTTCTAGCCCTCCTTTCTGCTCCCTCTTGTTCTCCATCCGTGCTCTCTTCCCTGTCTTTGGGGCTGCACGAAATGCACGTTGCAGGTCAGAGAGATATGCCCCCGAGTGGGGTACCATCGAAGACGAAGAGGGCGGGTCTCCATGGTTTGGGGTATGCGTGTTGAGCGGTACGCGAGCAGATAAGAGCGAACAGTCTTAAAGTGTTTGTTGTTGTTGTTGTTGCTGCTGCTGCTGTCATTGTGTGTTGTTGTTGATTTCGCTTTTATATATGTATATATAGGTATAAGGTCTTGTCTCTCCCCTCTCCCCGGTAACCATTGTGTTTTCCAATTAAAGTGCTTCTCCTGGGGCTTGCACCTTATTTCTTAAAAGGGAAAGCGAGGTGTCACCAGACCGTGTTGCTGGGCCCCAGTTTACAGAAACAGCGGTTCCCGCCTGATTTTCTTTCACAATTTATTCCGATCATTGCGCTCTCGCGCGGGAGTTCCTGATTTGTTTCCCAGAATCGCGCTCTCGCGTGGGGATTGCTTAACAATTTATTCTGACCCCGCGCCCTCGACACTCAGGCAACCCTCCTCGCTGTGGATATCCTCACGATTTATTTTGGAATCGCGCTATCGCTCGAGATTTCTTCGCGATCCGTACAGGACGCACGCTTCGGCAGCCCGCCTGCTCGACCTGGCCGCCTGGGCCCGCCTCCCGTCCCGCCCCCCCTCCCGCTACTCCCTCTCGTGCTCCATCCTCCTCCCTCCCCCTTGTCTCGGCGTCCCCCCAACATACTTTTACTATGTGTTTGTCGCCCCCCCAGGGGCGACGCGCGCACCGAGAAATCTCACAGTATATGCGTCGTGGCGGGCGCATTCTGGCCACACCGCTCGAGAAACGATACACTACAAGATGGGTATACTATATGTTCGGGTCGGACGCGCGCCTCCAAGGCGGACATATAGTATTAGTATGTCTCTGTGCGTCCCATTGTCCCTTCCTTCCATCCGTCCTCTCTTCCCGTGCCTTGAGAGCTGCACGAGACACACGTTGCAGACAAGAGAGATCTACCCCCAAGTGGGGTACGAGCGAAGACGGAGAGGGTGGGTATCGAGGGTTTGGGAAGTGTGTGTTGAACGGCACGCGAGAGGATCAGAGCGAACAGTATTAAAATTAGTACTATTATTGTTGTTGATGATGCTAGTGAGGGTGTTTTTGTTGTCGTTGTTGGTGTTGTTGCTTTTTTACTTCTGGAACTAGCGTTTTTTCAGGTTGCGGAAGCGGACAACATATCGACATCGTTTTTCACATCTTGCTCCTGTCTGGCAGCACTGCTTCAGCGAACAATTCAACCGCCGCGTCAAGACCCGATAACTCCATGCGGAAAGCAGGGATCGCATCACACATGAAGATAAACGAGTATCCAACCACATAGTGCTTCTGATCCTCAGCGTGAGAGGGGTACGCTATAACCTGAATGCCATCCGCCCCACACTCACCAGTATTCCCGCAGTCAGAGAAAACTTGTATGTCAGTATTGCTGGCGATGGCTTGTCGTATGCTGTCGGTGGTCAGGTTCCCTCCACTGGTCTGCGTGAACATGGCTACGTTGACAAGGTAGTTTGCTCCAACGTTCCACTCCCGGGGTCTTCAGTCCACTGGCTCAAGGTACCCTCCTTTGTAGCTGAAGGCGTCCGTACAGCAATCAACGAGGCGGGGCTGAGTACGCTTGACACAAGGCAAGTAAAACGGGCTACTGACAGCCACGGTCGCATTCGCCAAATCAGTTACGCACTGATTGTCCACGACGAACTCGACTTGGAATTCTGCTTCGGCCATAGCAGACAAGGAGTCGCGGCACATGATCGGAGGCATTGGTATGGAGTCCACGCCATAGCAAATCCTGGATTCGTTCTGGCTTGGCGCGCTGTCTCGTCCCATGGAAGAGCGCAAGGACAACTGGGCGGGAGACGGTCAATTGAAGACGCTGCACGCTTTCGTCACGAATGCAATGCGGCGGGTGATCCATTCTGAGAACGATGTGAAATGTTCAAACATGGCCCGCCAATGCAAACCATGGACCTTTGCCATCAAATCGTCCACGTCGGTGTGTGGTCCACGCCTGGCGCGAGAGATATACTCCCTCTTGCGCTTCGCGAAAAACCCTCACGTGCACTGCACTGCCTCCCACCACGCTGCGTCGCGCTCTTTACGTATTGCTCCACATATTCCACCAGCGCCTTTTGC